TCTCAGAGCCGGCCCTCCCCACTGTCCTGAAGATCAAGCTCTACCACGACAGCCTCACGCGCTACGAGGGCCTGCTGTCGCCCTACATCTACCCGCGATACGGCCTGGGGGAGCTGCCGCAGGTGACCGGGCGCAGGGCTCGGGCAGGCATGGGGTGGGAGCGAAGCAGGGCGGGCGCTCGGGGTCGTGGTGGTGCGGGGAGGGGGCAAGGCGCGCGTGACAGGAAAGATGGCGGGGGATGGGTGGTGGCGGGGCCGTGGGTGGCTTGAGAGCGATCAGGCGTGGGCGCAGCGCAGGCGCCGGGGCTGCCCTGCGATGTGGGCTCTACTGCCTGTCGTAGGAGGGCCTGTTGCAGTGCACACCCGCCTGCACACACACACACACACACACACACACATACATGCACACGCACACTCCACCTATGCATACTTGCAGGCGTTTGCGCGCCTGAGTGCGGTGTACGGCGGGACCTACATGCTCAACAAGAGCGACGCGCAGGTGGGGGCCAGCCTAGCTGGGGTCTCTGGTTGGATGACACTGCCTGGGTGTGAGGTGATCCGGTAGGGAAAAGGCAAGGCACACACACACACACACACACACACACACACACACAAACACACACACACACACATGCACACACACGCGCGTGCGCTCTCTCTCTAACTCTCACTCACCCCAGTTCACACACATTTGCACAGATACAAACACACTCACGTACATGCACATGATGACGTGCGCTCTCCTTTCACACCCCCGGCCCCCCAACTCCCGCCCAAGGTCGTCTACGACGAGAGCGGCGCCGCCGTCGGCGTCAGCAGCGGCGGCGAGACCGCCCGCTGCAAGTTCGTGGTGGGCGACCCCTCCTACTTTCCGGGCAAGACGCGCGTCGCCAGCCGGGTGGTGCGGGCCATCTGCATCCTTAGCCACCCGGTGCCCAACACCAACAACGCCCACAGCGCCCAGATCATCCTGCCGCAGAAGCAGATCGGGCGCCACTCGGGTGGGCGGGGCCCATGCTTTGGGCGCGCATGCGCGCGCTTGCGTGTCCTGTCACGCCGGTCGAGCTGCCGCATCTCGGCAATCGACGTTGGCTGCATGGTTGGCGCTCATGAGGGGCCGCCCTCACGCGTGGTATTGATGACGTCACCCCCACGCTTGAAATGCCCGCCCCGCAACACTGCGCCTGCCTCCTGATCTACGCCAGATATGTACGTGTTCTGCTGCTCATACGCGCACAATGTGGCGGCCAACAACAAGTGGATCGCGTTCGTGTCCACAACGGTGGGACGAGAGCAGCTGGCGTCAAAAGTCGCCCTGCAAGCTGGAGTGGATGCCTGTTGGTCTGCGGATTTCGGCTGGCGGCACCGGGGGCCGTAGTACCCGCATCCCATGCGCGCCTCAAACATATCACGCCCTCCCCGACGCGGGCGGCAGGTGGAGACCTCCAACCCGGAGGCGGAGCTGGCGCCGGGCCTGGCGCTGCTGGGCCACATCGACGAGAAGTTTGTCAGCGTCAGCGACGTGCACGTGCCCCTGGAGGACGGCAGCAAGTGAGGGGGAGGGGGAGGAGGGTCGGCCCCCCCGTGCTGACACAGCGGTTTGCTCGCTCTTTCGACGCGGTCACGGCACTTCCTCCCTCGGCGAGCAATCTTCAAACTGTGGCAATTCGTGCCCCATCTCTCGTTCTCTCGCACACACACGCACACATCATCAGCCACAAGGCGTATCATTGCCCTCCCTCACACCAGACCTCCTCCATTCCACCCCCGCCCAGCCCTCATAATCCCAACCC